TTCCATGTAGAGGTTTGCGATGACAGGTGAGAGGGGTGATCCCATGGAAAATCACAGATGATCACAGATGAGATTCACTGTGATGAAATTCTGTGATTCACAGATGAAAATCACTGATCACAGATGAGATTCTGCCGAAACGTTGCTACAACTTTAAAAGCACAACTATAATGACGTGGGAAAATACCCGAACAAAGTCCTCATTCCTGTGAGCGAGGGCTGGCTTCTTGTCACATACAGCGTAGATTACATCACTTTTGGGTATAGAAAAGGAATTCTTTTTGGAAAAATGAGCACAGAAGCTGGGCAAAGATCATGACATCTTATGTTCTTGGAACATCTGATTAATGTTGGAATCTCCAAGAAGCTGAACAAGTCAAAAAATTGAAACAGGACTACTCAGGAGTCTTTCTGTTTCTATAGATGTAGATTAATGTATGTGGCCAGGAATTTGTGCTAGGTTTTTTTTTTCTGATGACTTTATCATGTTCAGTATAATCCAACATACATATTTCAAGCTAGTTTCATGAAAACACTTTTTTTATTTAGAATTACATTGTGATTCATAATATTTAGGCAGAGACTTCTTCATCTATAGTAGACTATCATCACTTCGGGTTCTCTAGAGAACATTAATGATGACTGTTATGCAACATGGTTAGGAGATGACATTATTGTAACTTTTGGATTTTGACTTTTAAATTGTAACAGTGGCAGCACAGGTAGGGTGAGCTTTGTCTCTCGCAGCATACCATGCTAGACATGGATATCAAGTATGGTAGTCCCAAAAGATAGCGGTTGGCCACTACCTGAAAGAAGGTGTACAGGAGATGGAGTTATGGTATGAAGAGCCTCTGGGATTGGAGGTTGATACTTCTTGCTTTTCGCCCTGCAATGTCTCATTACGTTGGACTACTGCGCATGGGACACCAAAAAGTGCATAGGCTACTGGAATGTTTCTCAGTGCAATTCCAGGTGCCAGTATTCACTTTCAAAGCCTTTCATGGCTAGGAGCCAGGAAATTTACAGGACTGTCTCTGTAGCACCTGCCCTCTGGAATGCCATTCCTCCAGAGAGGGATTATCCTGACCTTAATGGCCTTCTGCAAGGCCTTGGAAACCCAGTTCTATCTCAAGCCTGGGGTCCCGATGGGTGACAGTGCCATTACCTGGTTATGTTAATTGTATGATCTTTAAAAAAAAATATTTCCTGCTATGTGTTTTTAATGTGATACTTGTCTGCAGTTTTATTATTATTCATTGGCCAGTTACATATTTGAGATGTGCAGCCACATAAAATCCAATAAATAACTAAAAGTATATTGAATTATAATTAGGAAATTAATGCTACCATAATTAGGAAATTAACCCTATTGCAGTTGGAAAAACATAGCAACACTAAAATGAGATTGTAAAAATAGAGTGGCAATTAAGAATCAATAAAGAAGTACAATTGAATCTACTCATAGGAAGTTTCTTCAACTTTAGTCTTACAGTTTAGCTTGCTTAAGAACATGTTCTAGCAATGAGGATAATTTTATTCCAGTATAAATTATATTATCAATAATTATTCAAATAAAAACTTTTCTCTTGCTAGGTTAAATAGCTGGTAAGTGGGAAATGCATGATATAAGGAGAAGAAATATTGCAAAGCTAGAATTCAATCTATTAAAATGATGTTTTAGTTGCTTTCTGAAAATAAGAAACACAACTGCCTTTTTGGTTATGCATGGAAAATTGAAATCTGCTGTATTTCCAAATAAATTTATGAAATTAAATGTGTTTACCTTTTTCTTGTTCTATAAAGACGTCCTAGAGGAGTTATTTCCACGCCAGTGATAAGAACATTTGGCCGAGGAGGAAGATACTATGGGAGAGCTTATAAGAACCAGGGAGTTATTCAGGTAATGGAAACAAAATCAGGGATCAGCTCTTTTTGTTATTGTCATAGGTTAATGTTGCATTGGGATTGTGTTTTAGAAAACACGATTGTGTTTTAGATGCATTAGGCCAAACGGAAAGTTAACAAATTCATTTTCCTTGTGGTTTTCGTTAAAGAATAAAAAAAACCAGTGCCAAATTGCTGAGTGAGATCAATGTCCGGCTTAGTATTCTATTTCCACACAAAGCAGTTAGATAAACCAGCACACTCTCCACTATGTTTAGTATAGTAATATACTATAATATATAGTAATTGTTTAAAGAACTTTGTTTTACAAAAGGTGATGTTTTATTATCAGATATTAAGACAGTTAATACCCTTGATGATGTGGATTTCAAATAGTTCAAATTTCCCAAACCAAAAAGTGGCAAGCATCATATTTTGTGTAACAAAAATCCCAAGAAATGCTGAATTTCAGTAATTTTCCTAAGTTGATAACTCTTTCACTTATGTTGCTAACTACTTTCATTATTTCTTTCTCTTTAATTATTTTATTTCTATGTTTAAAAAACAGGGCAAACCTCCTTATGCTGCTTCAGCAGAGGAAGTGGCCAAAGAACTTAAATCAAAATCAGAGGAAGGCAAGTCCTCTATTGTGTCTTCAGAAGGATCCCTGGCTGAAAATGGCATAATAAATGAGGAGAAACCAGCTTCCCATATGAATGGGAGTACAGCAGATGTCAGGGCTTCCAACCAGTCTGAAAGTGCCTTGAGTAATGACTCTAAAATGTGCAATACAAATCCTCACTTAAATGCACTAAATGCAGACAGTATTTGCCATAAAGATGATGCTCTTGAGGCTACTGTCTTAAAAAAAGAAGAGTAAACTTATTTTTTATAGAGGGTGAAGGATGTTGGAAGGGTCAGGATTAGGAATATCTGGAAAGAAAGAGAGCCTACAGTTACGTACATTTTTTCCTTTCCGTAAGAGAAAAATGAGGACTTGGAAATTTGGATCCCTCTTGGATGTCAGAGATTTAAAGAACACATTTTTAGTTTTAACCAGTTGTAGTCAAAATGCTACAATACAATAAAAATGAAAGAGAATGAAGAGCATTTGACTCCCGCACTTAAAATGATGTATACACAAAGTTTAAACTGGTTACAACAAAAGCTTGTAGTTTTTGTTTCTTGAAATATATTAAAAAGGAAAAGAAAAACAAATTTTGGCAGTCTTTCAGTATATATAGCTTAAAGTATAATTTTTAGTACTTGGCACCATATGTATGCCATTATATTTGATTTTGCATTACTATGTCACAAAGCTTTCCTTAAGGCTTTGATTTCATGATTATGGGGGGGGGAAAGGCACAACCACAGTTCTTTCTTTTCTTAAATTTCATCACCGTTGATGTGGTTTCTTTTTATGTTTAAAATGTGCAAACTATCAAAAAAAAATTATAGAGTAATATTGGAGTTCTGCTGATTTTAAATATACATCATAATACTTTACAAGCAAGTTAAAATGGATTTAACTTGAAAATCATAGAAGATGCAAATGACCTTTTCAAAAGAAACACAATGTGTTCTGATACTTTTTGTGACTAATACCATGCATCCGTGATCAATGAACTATGTGGTTTTTGAATCAGACGTAGACCATTAGTACTACTATTTGAGCTAAACTTCTGCATGGTTCATAATTTTAAAGTGTGTAGTTAATATTATGCATGTTCTTGTCCTCTTTCTTCCATTCTTACAAGTACTGTGCCCATTTGCAAAACAAAAAAAGCTAATAATCAGTAATAGTCCTATAAAAGATGTTAACTATGTTTAGTCATTGACTGATCTTGCTCTAACCTTAAAATTTTGTGATTATTGACCTCTGTTGCATTTATTCTAAAACAAAAAAAAATTATCTAGCCGTTTTGAATATCAACGTTACCCTGGTGTACTCATTGCTGTATGCATTATTGTTCTCTGTTGCTGTTTTATGCCTTCATATTAGCAAATATGAAATTCTGTGGAAAAACACAAAAAAAGCTTTGATCTTCAAGAAATACCCCCCTTCTGTAGCAGGAAACAAATGGCTTGTTCTTGAGAACTTTCCCATCAAGAATTTAGTATAAGCAAATATACCTGTATCATTTTGATGTTTTTGTTAGTGTTTCCAAACTTAATGTACTTCAGAATCAGAATCATTTCTTTATATTCGTTTTCATATAATTCTCCTGATGCTCTTCATCACACATTAGTGATCAGAAATGAGGTGTAATTCCCCATTCCCTGCCCGCAAGAGCTAAGTAGGTATCTTAATGTAAGTTGAAGGGAGTTCTGCCCCAACTCATGGATTGTGCAAGAATGAACTACTGTTGGGTTTGATTGGTTGTAGATGGATTGTGGTGTGGTGTATTTGAAGGCTATTGAATGCAACTTACAATGCTTAATAAAAATCTTTATTCTTTTAGTATAACCTTCTTGTATGGTGTCTTACTTCTGTTCCCAATAATTTTCTTTCTTTTTCATTTTTTCCCCACACAAATTTGAAGTCTTCAAACATCAGGAATTTTAGTAATTGATAATGAGCTCTAGAAATAAAGGTTGTAATGACAACAAGGTAGATCCATGTTGAGCAGATGTTAAATTTTTTTCAGCTTCCAAGATGTCAGTTGCAACTGATGAGTTTTTGTCTTGAGAGCAAACATGGTGGGTGGTCATCAATACACCACCTCTCCGTGTTGTTTTGTGTAAATAATAAAAGTTCCTGTTGCAGAATAATCACTTTTTATTTTGTCATCCTTCAAAGCAAAAGATTGGAGTTGCAATTTTGGAAAAAAATTATTGAATATCCTGGATATAAAAATGAATTCCACATTACCTCTCTATTAGAATTCATAACGCTAGGAAATCTAATGCATAATAAACCTTGCTATTTTGAGTCCCGTAACGTGCCATAAAGCATCTTGCTGGCAGTAACCAGTGATTTTGAGAGGACATGTCATATCGGCACAATTTGCTATGGAACCCAAGCTAAACAAACATTCAATTTCTGATTCCATTTCGGAAAACAGCCTTGGTGCTCCTATATTTAATTCAATAGCAAAGCTATGGCATTCTCAAAAGAAATCCAGAAAGGACTTCTTCGCTCATATCTCAAGTGCAACTTTCCTAATGAATGGTTTTCAATGAAACAAGGCTAACCTGCAAAAATTCTAGGTACAGAAGATTGCCTCTTGATCCTTTAGTTTCTCATCTTATGTGGAACTCATTTTGGGGAGAGGATAACATCTTAAATGTGCATAGGGTTGGGACAGAAAATGAATTTAATTACACAGCAGCAGCTGCCATTTTCAAAGGGAGGTGTTCTTGGGGATGCCAGAAGTTTTAACGAATGTAGTAGTGAGAATCTCATCTTTACTGTAAAAAGAAGACAGCTGTTTCTTTAGATAGATAAATAATTGTCTGGAATTAGTCTACTTTCTGCTACTTTTCTAAGGCTGATAGAAAAAACATAGGTCAGAAAAAAATAGATTGAAATGCGTACAGTGCATTTCTGTTTTCTGACTATCGATGGAGAAAAACAGGAAGGGAAAGACTGCTAAAGATCCATTCCCATGGTCTTCCATATATTGTTTTTGATTCTCAATTGTGTATTTTGTCCCATCCCCTATATCTCTGTTTCATTGTCCCCAAATTGTTACTATTTGTATGTATGCATTCAATTAAAACATTAGTAGCTATTTTTGTGCTGACTGTGCCAAACTAGAGCAGTATAGTTTCTACAGCAGTCATACTATTTTTGTTCCTTGCTTCAAACTGCACTGAAGCAAATCACTAACCATTTGGTGAAGATATTTGAGGTGGCACTACAAGGTGAAAGAGAAGTCCATTCTTTTTGTTCCTAACCATTCTGTTGTGGACAAGCAACACTAAATGCTGCCTAGTGAATTAACAATCTGCTTACAAATACTCTAGAACTGGTAGATTCATGACAACAATAGAACAAATCCTGGAGTTTGCTTAGGTCCCCCAGTCAAATGCTCAGTAAAGTGTTACCAGATGGCTACCCAAATTATCTCTTGAACATATCCAGTGAGACCCAACTTTTCACCTCTTGGCTAATTTTATTCTTGAATTAACTTGAATTAACATTAACATTGGAATCTGCTCTCCTGTAACTGAAAATAACTCAAGTCATTCAGGCCCTAGTCATCTCACAGTTAAGACTATTGTAATGCTCTCTTACCTCTGAAGAGCTTTCGGAAGCTGCAGCTGGCGTGGCAACATGGACAGTTCTTGGGACCCAAAGAATGGTCCATGTAACACCATTGCTCTGCAAACTGCATTGGCTGCTAGTTTGCTTCCAGTGCAATTCAAAGTGTTAGTATGACATGTATCCAGAGTTAGTAATCACCTTTAAAGCCCTTCATGACATGTATCCAGGCTACTTGAAGGACCATCTCATCCGACTGGGATAGGCCTGTCCCACCTGTGCCGGCAGAAGAGGTATGCTGCAGGCCCTGATTATTCTGGCTGGCGAAGTCCAGAAGGACCTTCTCTGCTGTTGTACCTGCCCTCTGAAACATCTTGCCCCCTGGAATGAGGTTGGCTCCCACCGTCCCATCTTTTATTGAATCGTAGCATTTGGATTGTTTTAGTTTATTTTTTTAGGATGTATAAATATTTTTCTTTTATATGATTGTAAACCATCTGGAGTTATCCTGTGGTAAGATGGGCAGCCACTAAATTTTATAAATAAAAGTTAAATAAAATAATTACTGTTTTACACTCTAGAATGATGGAAAGGGAGATTTCAATGATATGCATTGCTGAAATCCCCGCATCACCGATCCATCCTTTGGAGTTCCTTTGTAATTGTTGCTTTAGTATTTACTGTTTCTTTAAGTTTCTTTTCCCAATCTCCTGTCATTGCTCTTTTGGGGGGAAAAAATTCAACCGCACTCCAACTTTGTTCCCCTTAAAAGTTAATAATTCCAGCATTACATGGTCATTTTTTCCCCCAACATTCCTGTTACTTTATATCCTCAACTAAGTCTTTTTGGGTTAGTGTCAGTGAAGGATAGCTATTTTTGTTGTGTTTTTCTCTAGTCTGAAGGTGAAAGTTGTCAGCAAGACAAGCTGAGGTGGATTGGACCGGTTTTGGCGAACCAGTAGTTCCGGTGATCATTTGGCCCTGCCCACCCACCCCTGCCCTAGTCTCCTTTATTTCTGTGTTTTGCAGCTCAGCTGTTTTGCGCGGATTGCCACGCCTCAGCTGTTTTACTCACCGGGGCTGCAGTAGAAGGTAAGTATTAGAGCTGAAAATGGGTGGTTTTCAAATGCACATGCACTCACCAAAACGGTTGTTACACCAGTTGAATCCCACCCCTGAAGATAAATCAAGAATTTCCTAGAAGAACCAAACTTTGCAGAATTTGCCTCTCAACAGATGTCAGGTTAATTTAAGACCCTCCTTATACTGTTTCCTACTGTACAGAATCATTTTCAGAGGAAGATAATAATTTTACTAAAGTTCACCAACTTAACAAATTCTTGTAGCATTCCAAAAACATGCTATGATGGCAATATTGGAATTGTCCAGTCACCTACTGGTTACCATTGTGAGTGTTGCCAGTCACAAAATATACTTAACCAGAAGATATGGGAGGTAAAGATAGTCCTCAAACATCCTCTGTAAGTTCCCACTAGTTTTGACTTACCTTGATCTTTATTCTGGCTGAATAAGTATGCTTCTAAAGAAAGGGCTGGTCTCTTAACTACTGAAAGTGACAGATTAATTCACTTAAAGAATTATTCAGCCCATATAGAGCTGAAAATGATGTGAGATTCAAAATTTAAAATAAAAAGAACAGCTGAGGCATATTCTGAGCTACATTGGGAACCTCAAAGTTCACAATTCTACTATTCTCTTGCTTCCCAAAAGTTGAAATCCATTTCTCAAGACTACTTCCATTACTTTTGGCAATGGGGATGTGACAAAATAATGATTTTAAAAAGAAATTTGTATCTGAATTTTGGTTCTCAGATGTTTGAGAGTTACTTGTAGAGAATGCATTGACAAAGGCTCTTGTGACCAGGAGCAATATCTGGAAAAGGAACTCAATTTAAATATGTTTGCTTGTTAAATCTGGTCCTGTTAAAAAAACTTCTCAGTTTGTGTGGATTCATGTTAATAAAGGATATTGGAGTGCAATGCAATTCATCTCTGTTAGAATGCCATAGTTGAGTGGTAAACTCTTGATTTACATGATTTTCATTATATGACTTTAGATGCAGTGGTGGTATTCTACCGGTTCGGCCCGGTTCTGCCAAGCCGGTAGCAGCGATGAGCAGCAGAAACCAAACCGGTTCTCTCCACCACTCTGCTGTTGGGCCCACCTGCCTGCCCAGCCTCCCATACTCACCTTTATCCCCTGACTTTGAAGCGCAGCTGCTTTGCGCGGCACAGAAGAGTGCTGCGCAGCAGCTGCTGAAGCGACCGGGAGAGTGCAGGCTTGCAGGAGGTGAGTTAGAACACCTCTGCACCTGCGCAAATGCCTCTGTGCCTGTGCAAAATGTGCATTTGGCATGCGTGCGCAAGCAAAGTGTGTGCGCACGCTCAAAGCGAGGCCACCAAGCCACGCCCACCAAACTGGTGGTAAAAATATTTGAATCCCACCACTGTTTGGATGCAACAGACAAAAGCCATTCATTATCTTTCAAACCATTCTGACATGGTCTACGAAGTCTTTTCATGAGTTCATTAACTTGAAAGTTTATGCTACTGAAATGTATATATTGGTAATAATAGCCTCTTCCTTTCAAGGAATAGTCAGTCATTGTAGCATACCAGATTCTAACCATTTATTAAAGACAAATCTGGAAATATTGGCTGCTTTACAGAGATTTATTTATTTATTTAATGCCCTGTGTGTAGTCTGTGAAATCAGCTGTGAAATCATTCCCTTGGTTGGACGTACACTTGGTTTCACACTGCTGTTTAGGTGCAAGGAAGGCTTTCTTCTTTTTTACATGTGTTGCTCAACTGATCAATCATTTGGCGAGAGACCCCATATATTACTCTTAGCTGGAACAGTTAATCAGTAGAACAACTTGCCTCCAGAAGTTGTAAACACTGGAAGTATTTAAGAAGAGTTTGGACAACCATTTTTCTGAAATGGTATAGGGTTAATTTCCTATAGGGGGTTGAATTAGAAGACATCCATGGTCCCTTTGAACTCTGTTAATCTATTCTGATATTCTGTGAAGCCTTAAAATTGACTAGCCCATCATTGGGAGAATTCAATGCATATTGTGTTTATGTAAGTTGGTTTGACATATATACATGGAAAGAATTCCAAAGTTTCGAATCAGCCAATGCCCTCATGCATCTGCAGAGTACAATAAGGCTCAAAAGAAAAAGGAAAAAAAAGGCATTGAATTGGTAGAGGTGTCCCAGCAATTGCGAAGCAC